AGGGGCCTGGCTGCCTCTCGCCGCCTCCTGGAGCCACGGGCCCAGGCCCCACGGGGAGACCGAGGCAGGGCGGGCGACAGGCGGCGGTCACGGGCCTGGCTGCCTCTCGCCGTCTCCTGGAGCCTCGGGCCCAGGCCCCGGGGGACCCTGTAGCAGAGGGGGCCGGGTGGTCCTGTGCCCGGCTGCCCCTCACCACCCCTGCAAGCATGGGCCCAGGCCTCACGGGGAGGCCGCAGCGAGGGGCCCGGAGGCGGGCGCCTGAGGGCCTCCTGGCAGGCCCCACCTGCCTACCTGAGAGAAGCAGCAGCAACAGCCCCAGCCGGAGGCCGGGCACTGGGGACGAAGCCTGCCTTGCCATGGCCACTGCTCTGTCCCCAGCCCGCGCCGGGACCACGTCTGCAGCTCCCGGGGAAAACATGCAACTGCCCCAGCTGCGGCCGGTCCCCTCCCCGGCCCCCACCAGGCCCCTTCCTGCCATGCAAATCAGGGCCCAGGGGAGCCACCCGCTCTGGGGGGATGGGGGCAGGGTGAACTCTTGTCAGCTGGGCCTGGGCCGGGTTCTGGGGGCTGCCTGCCCGCTCCCTGCGGCGGCTTCCCTGGCGGTCACACCCCTCCAGCCGCCCAACCCAGGGCCACAGGGCCGAGCCTGCGGGGACTCATTCCTGGGCACTGAGCTCACACACATCTGCCGTCCTCCGGTCCAGCCCCTCTGCCCTGGAAGAAGGGCTGAGACAGGCAGTGCGGGGCCTTGGCAGCCAGGGACCCAGGCCAGGCACTGGGAGCCCCGAGCCCTTGGCGGGCGTGCAGGGGGCCAATGTCGGACGCTGAACCCGGGGCGGGGGAGGCACAGAAGTTCCTGAGCGGGGCAGGCCAATGTGGCGGCCACTGGGAGAAGACTCGGTCCAGGCCCTGGGGCTGGGGGCTGCCGAGGGGCGGCCTGGGTGAGATGGATCAGGGAGCCCGGTCCCACTCAGCCATGGGGGTTCTTCAGGGAGTTGGGTTTTTTTGAGTTGGAGTCTCACTCCGTGGCTCAGGCTGGAGCACAGTGGCCACTCCTGGCCACCGCAGCCTCGACCTGCTGGGCTCCGGCGATCCTTCCACTTCAGCCTTCCGAGTAGCTGGAACCACAGGCATGTGCCACCATGCCCGGTTAATTTTTTGATTTACTGTAGAAAGGAGGTCTCACCAAGTGGTCCAGGCTGGTCTCAAATTCCTGGGCTCAGGCAACCCTCTTACCTCCGCCTCCCAAAGTGCTGGGATGACAGCCTTGAGCCACCGCGCCCGGCCCTTCAAGGACTTCTTAACTGGACTGGAGGTGCCATCTGTAGCTGTGGGGGCAGGGCGGGAGCCTCCGGACGGGGGTGTGGTGATGGACCTGGCTGGGCTCCCTCATGTCCCTGCCCTGGGTCCCACACATCTTTGGCCCTGGGAGGGCCCTCGTGCGGGTTGCAGCCTGTACTGCCGCACACGGCCCACCCGCCAGCCCCGGCCCTGCAGCTGAGCCCACTCGGGCTTTCTGTCTCCGGGCAGCCTCTCTTTTCTCTCTTGTGCCCTGAGCCTGGAACAGAAGGAGAGGTGTGAAATCTCTGTGTCCTCCGCCCTCGTTATTCTCTCCTCCACTCTCCGTCTTTGAACAGTCTATACTGCTGCAGGTCTGTCCCGGTTTGGGGTGATGCGGCTCTGCCTCCCATGCCAGGGTTGGAGGGCAGAGGGCCCGGGCACCCCTCTGGGCCTGGACTAGGCCTCACCTGACGGGATGGGGGCCGCTCCCGGGGGTGCAGGCTGACCCGCGCCATGGACATTGCGAAGGGGAGGGCCCGGGTTTCATCTAAGGGACAGCCCGTTCCAGGCTGGCCCAGATGTTCTTGCTTGTCCCAGATGTTCCGAATGAAAAAACATTTCTCCGAAAAGGTGTCAGCTGTTCAGTTCACAGAACAAACAGCCCAGGAGTATAAACATCACCTGAGGTCAGCTTGGGGCCCATGGGCGCGCCGGGGGCCTCGTTCCCACAAACTCCACCCTTCCCGGCCCGACACTGGAGCCTCTGTCAGCTCTGGGGCTGGTGGACCCCAGAGGCGGGAGGCTGCTTGGGAAGGGCTGGGCCACACACGCGCGCGCGTGTGTGTGTGTGGTGCCCGGGGACGGTGGGTGTGTGGGGCGGTGGGCACCCCCAGCTCACACGCGCCCACCTCCTGCGCAGGGTGCAGTGTGTCCTTTGATCTCATGCCCATTCATGCCGGGCAGAGATGCGTCTTCGGGGCGGAGGCCACAAGGCCCGCGCCTGCAGGGTTATTTGTTACCGTGGAGGCCGTGCTGTTCCCTGACCGGTGACATCAACACGGAGCCCCAACCTGGGCTTGTGACCCCCTTCCTTCCCAGAACAGGAGGCCTCTGAGCCCACCCCCGCCTTGGCCCTGGCCGCCCTGGGCTGTGCACCCTGACATCTGGCAGCCCCTGTTTGCAGAAAGGCAGCACCAGAACAAGAGAGGGGCCGAGGCAGGAGGATCACTTGAGGTCAGGAGTTCGAGACCAGCCTGGGCAACATAGTGAGACCCCCCCCCATGTCTGCAAAAATTAAAAAATAAAGCCGGGCTCGGTGGTGCAGCCTGTAATCCTGCATGGGAGGCTGAGGTGAGTGGATTGTCTGAGCCCTCGGGTTCGAGACCCGCCCGGACAACTTGGTGAAACCTCATCTCTACAATAAATCAAAAAACTAGCTGGGCACTGTAGCGCACGCCTGTAGTTCCAGCTACTCGGAAGGCGGAGGCGGAAGGATCGCCAGAGCCCGGCAGGTCGAGGCTGCGGTGGCCGGGAGTGGCCACTGCACTCCAGTCTGGGCAACAGTGAGACTCCAACTCAAAAAAAAAAAAAATTAGCTGGGTGTGGTGATACGTGCCTATAGTTCCACCTCCTTGGGAAACTGAGGCGGGAGGATTGCCTGAGCCCAGGAGGTCGAGGCCGCAGTGAGCTGTGATCGCGCCACTACACCCCAGCCGGTGCGACAGAGCGAGACCCCGGCTCTTAAAAATAAAGAAAGAAACAAAACAAGAAACAAGGATGTGGGGGAAGGGACAAGGGCTCAGGAGGAAGCGGGAAGTCAGGGACCCCCAGCAGCCCAGGAAGGCAGGTGGCAAAGACCCGCAGGGCAAGAGCCACTTCGAAGGACGTGGGTTTGAGTCCCGGCGCTGCTGTGTGGACAGCCTCCAAGGTGACCCGTGGTTCTCGCCCGGGGGGTCCTGCCCAGCCCAGGGTGTCCGAAAGTGCCAGGGCGGCCACACCGAGCCGTGGGCACCCGGCGGGCAGGAGTGTGGCTCCCCTCCACAGGGCCCCACCCCCCATGTGGACGATGCCCAGTGCAGCCTCACCCGCCCCTCACCCCAGCCAGCGTGTCTGCTGTCTGTGGAGCAGCGGTCACTCTGACGGCGTGTCCTGTGGGCGCCCGGCTGCTTTGCACCTGGAGTGGGCAGGCGCGGGCCCGGGTGGGGGTCCCTCCGGGGGACCAGCTGTGTGGTCTGCTTCCCACCCAAGATTTCTCCCACAGTTCCAGGCTCCGGTGAGGGAGGCTGGGTGCTGCGTCCCCTCCCGGCCTCGGGGCAGGGAGGTCCTGCGAAGTCCGGAGGAACCGAAGGGGGGAAGCCCCCACCCCGGGCAGCAGGGGCGGGGCTGGAAGGGCCCTGGGAAGATGCCTGACCCTCATGTGTCAAGAGCTGCAGGGCAGGAGGGCTGCGGGATGACCCAAGAACATCGGGACAGCCTGTGGGCGAGGCCCGGGGCTCCCGCCCCCCAGGCCACGGCGACAGGCCCGCGGGGTCCGCCGCCCACAGCGCCACAGCACCTCGGGACCCGGGAGTGGGTGGGCAGCTCGGAGGCTGAGGGCTGCGCGAGGCCCGGTCAGCAGTGCCCACGTCAACAAGCCCGGAGGGCGTCCTGGCATCGGCAACCATTCTGGAAGGTGAAGTCTCCGCGAGGTGTGTGTAGCCCGGGTCTGCGGCTGCCTTCCTGCTACGCCACTCCTCTCTGCCCAAGGTCTGTGTGACCCTGAGCTCTCCGGGGTCAAGGGTCAGAAGGGGTCCTGGGACTAGCACCTCAGGGGGGCTGTACCCTCTGCCCCACAGGCCCCTGGAGGTCGCCCAGGAAAGCAGGGGCTTCTGGGAAGGGTCTTGGGGATACAGTCCCACACCGATCTCGGGGGAGGGAGTGTGCTGCCCGCTGGGAGAGGAGCAGCATGACCTCTGATCCCTGACCTCCTGCTGGGAGGGCAGGACTGGACCCCGGGGGAAAGCCAGGCCTCATCCGCCTCCCACGTGGCTGCCGCCCCGGCCTCAGCCCCTTCCGCCACCCTCTCAGCCGTGCCCCTTGTGGAGGTGAGAAGGAGAGGCCACATGGCACGGGTGTCCAGGGGTTTATTGTAAGAACTGTACAAGGACCACGGCCCCCCCAGTGCAGCCTGCTCCCCGGGGCGTGGGGCCCACGTCAATAGTACCCACGTCCACAAGGCCCGTATCGGCAGGGTCCACGTCGGCAGAGTCCACACCAGTAGTGCCCATGTGAGCGAGGCTCACGTCAGCAGGGCCCAGGTCAGTAGGGCCCACGTCAGCAGTGCTGACGCCAGAGGGCCCGTGTTAGCGGGGCCCCCCTCTGAGGCGCCCAGGTCAGCAGGGCAGCAGAAGCGCTTCCAGGCGGCAGGAAGTGGGAGGGTGGGCCTGAACCGGGTGACCCTTCCCCGCCACGTGCCCCCATGGTGGCCGCGCTAGGGTGGACTCAAGTGGGATGTCCTAGGGACACTTAGGCGGGAAGGGGGGGCGCAGAGGGAGGAGACGGTTGCAAGGAGATGGGGAGGGGCAGATGGGAGGCTTGGCCAGGCTGCGTGGAGCCTGGAGGTGCAGGGGGGCCGGGAGTGGAGGGCGGGCGCCTTCTCGCCAAGCCGTGGGCCCAGCCCCACAGCCCGTGCGTGCTCGGTGCGCGCAGCCACCCAGCAGTGGCACGCGGCCATGCGTCTGTGCACTCTGCTCTCCCCTGGGCACTGGTCAGGGGCCGCGGGTCTGGACGTGGCCAGGAAAGGCTCCGGATCACACCTGCCCATGGCGCAGGATCCAGCAGGCTCAGGAACAGTTTCTGGACCCGGTGTGTTTCCCTTTGCCGGAACTCCTGAGGGGTGGGGTGGGGGTGCACCCTGGAGTTGGCGTGGCTGGCGGCGCCCTGGGTCAGGCGTGGGAGGAGAAGGCATCTTTGCAGGGGTGGAGAGAGGCCCGTGGCCCTTAAGACTCTGGTGACAGGAAGGTGGCCAGTCCCTCCACTGCAGACTGGCCCCTTCCTGAGTGGGGACGGAGTGCTGGTGTCCTGACTCCCCCGGGGCCGAGGGAGTGGTGGCTGGGCCTGGAGGAGGCGAGATCTTGGGGCACGGAGCCCCTGAGCATGGCGGCCACCTCCGACGGCCTGGGGGTCAGCCCTGGGGTGGCCAAGTCCCCTCTCCAGGAGGGAGCCGGAAACAGTCCCAGACTCAAAGCCCGGCTCCCTCGCTAGGCCTGCAGACACGGGGTGATCCTGCTAGACGAGGGACTCCATGATGCCCGGGCGCACCGTGGACCCCGGTGGGGGTGCGGGAGGTGGGGTGGTGGCTGTGGGGCTGGGAGCAGCTCCCGTGGCCTCCCCGGCCAGGCCCACGTCCGCGGCGCCACCCCCATCCCCGGGGCCGTACATCCTGCTCATGGCGTCGGCAATCAGCCCCTCCGTCTCGGGGGGCCCGGCGGCCCCGCCATCCCGGCCTTGGCGGAACAGGTAGGACGCCTGCTTGACGGAGCGCTGCAGCAGGTGGCGGCGGTAGGCGCGCTGGATCCTGACGGCGCACACCTCCTCGTGCTTCCGCTTGAGCGTGGTGGTGATGGGCTCGTAGGACACCTTGGAGGGGTTGGCCGCCATGAACTTCTCCTCCATGGTCTGCTTGAGTGCGTCCATCTCGCCCGAGTCGCCCAGGACCTCCTTGGTGAGCGCGAACAGGATGTCCAGGCAGTGGATCTTGTCCCCGGGCACCATGGGCAGGTCCAGCGTGACCAGCTTGATCCGGTTGGGCTTGGCAATGCGCAGCGGCTCCTGCAGCGTGTCCACGAAGTCGGAGAGGCGGCCGTAGGCGATGAACTGCGTGGCGTCGGGGTCGAACTTCTCCCAGGTCTCGTAGAACATCTCGAAGTCGTCCTCGCCCAGCGGCTCACTGCTCTCCTCCGTGGCCACGCTGAAGTTCTCCAGGATGATGGCGATGTACATGTTGACCACGATGAGGAAGGACACGATGATGTAGCTGCAGAAGAAGCAGATGCCCACGGCCGGGCTCCCGCAGTCGCCGCGCACACTGGAGCCCGGGTTCTCGTGCGTGGGGTCGCAGTCGGGCGGCCCGCGGTTGAGGATGGGGCTGAGCAGCCCGTCCCAGCCGGCCGACGTGGTGATCTCAAACAGGCAGAGGATGCTGTTGCCGAAGGTCTCGAAGTTGAACATGTCGTCGATGCCCGCCTCCCTGCGCACGTAGGCGAAGTTGGCCATGCCGAAGATGGAGTAGATGAACATGACCAGGAAGAGCAGCAGGCCGATGTTGAAGAGCGCCGGCAGCGACATCATCAGCGCGAACAGCAGCGTGCGGATGCCCTTGGCCCCGCGGACCAGCCGCAGCACGCGCCCGATGCGCGCCAGGCGGATGACGCGGAACAGCGTGGGCGACACGAAGTACTTCTGGATCAGGTCAGACAGCGCCAGGCCTGCGGGGGCGGCCGGTGAGGAC